GTCATGATACGTAGGCAATCTCTATAGGATTCGATCACAACCATAAATAAATTGAGTGAAAGTAATCCGAAAAAAAAAAGAAAGAAAAATGGAATGGAAAAGAAAGAAAAAGTAAAAAAAAAAAGAGTGAAAAAAAATATAAAAGAATGATTAAAAAAAAGAGTGCCAAAAAATTAAAGAGCGACAGAAACAAAATAAAAAAAGAGTGATTAAAGAGAGGCAAAAATGAAAGAAAAAGGGTTGTAGAGTGAAAGAGTTAGTTAAGGCCGGGATGAAACATGCAACTCGTTCAAACACATAATAGAAACGTTTAACTGTTTAGGTGCATTGCATCCCAATATGTGATTTTCTATCTTTTAAGTGTCTCAAAACTAACAAGATTGTTGGGTGTGCAAATTAGCCAAGTTCTGTTCAGGTGGTTGATTTTGTTGGTAAGTTAGCTTCCCATCCTTACTTCACAAGATCCAAAGGAAAGGTTATTATGGCCTCTGAATGCCGTATACAAATTACCAGTCCTGAGGATAGCCCAGCACTGGCTATTCCACAACTAGAATCAGCACCTGCTGAAGAGAATAGGATATTGCGTCTCCGCATATTGGAAATGTGGGATGCCTGGTCTAATGGTAGGGAACCACCAAGTGCAATCCCTAGGTCCCCTGAGTTGATCCCCGGTCAGGTGAGGTTACCAACGCCCCTGTGCCCAACCCGTTCATCCCATGCAGGCACCCTCCAATGTTGTCCAATGTTCATGGCATGCCTTCTGTGGTTCTTCCCCAAGCGCCAGTTTTCAAGGCACCTCCAATATTGTTCTCTGTAGCACCAGTCTGCACCAGAGCACAACCAACTTTGCCACGGTCGGATGTCGAGCCTCCAATGTTCACCTTTCAGGGTCCACAACTTCAATCAGAAATAACATATGTGACTCCGTACTCTTTCACTCAACCTCTGCAATGCGATTTTTCGGTAGAGCAAGAAAAGGTTGTTAAAAATTCCGAGCAAGAGGAAATGGCTCGAAAGATGAAGAGCCTGGAACAAAGCCTAAAAAACATGCAAGGTTTGAGTGGCCAAAAGAGTGTCTCATACTCTGACCTCTATATGTTTCCCCATGTCCACTTTCCAGGTGGCTTCAAGATACCAAAATTTGAAAAGTACAATGGGCATGGAGACTCGGTTGCTCATATGAAATGATACTGTAACCAGTTGAGGGGTGCTGGTGGAAAAGAGGAGCTGCTAATGGCCTATTTTGGGGAAAGCCTCGCTTCTGAGTGGTATATGGATAAAAAATTACCCATTGGCACGTGTGAGATGATATGGCCCGAGATTTTGTCTGCCAGTTCTAGTATAATGTGGATATTGCTCCCGACAGAAACTCTTTGTCAAATTTTCCAAAGAAAACCGTGGAAAGCTTCCGCGAATATGCTGTCAAATGGCGTGAGCAAACCGCCAGGGTAAAGCCTCCAATGGACGAAATTGAAATGGTCACGGTCTTTCTACATGCCCTAGAGGCGAACTACTTCCAGAACATGATGTCCGCTATAGGTAAGCCATTCGCTGAGGCTATCAAAATTGGGGAAATGGTTGAAAACAGTTTACAAACAGGGCGAATCTTAAGTCATGCTGCCTTTAAGGCCATATCATAGGCTGCTTAGAATGGTTCGGAGGGTCTGATGAACAGAAATGGGGGTGAGGAGGGAGCCATGATGGTTTCAAGCTCGAGGGTCATTTATCCAATAATACGTACCTCCTATGGTCCCACCACACTATTATCCCCTTCAAGATGCTGCTTATGCCGTGGCACCGCCTCCCCATGCGGTGATGAACATGTGACCTTACACGCGGCCACAACATTATACACAAAATCGAGCTCCACCTCCCAGAAATGCCCATCCTTACTAAGCTCCATATAATCCTCAACCAAATAATCCCCAATACAATACTCACCCAAGAGAGCCTTTCAGAAAGAATCAATTCACCCCTGTTAATGAATCATATTCAAGCTTGTTCCAAAAGCTAATCAGGCTAAATCTATTGCAGCCACTGGCCTCGAACCGGCCGAACCCCGAGTCCCCAACGCACCGAGCTGATGCTAGATGTGAATACCACTTTGGAGTAGTGGGACACACTACAGAGGACTGTTGGACCCTTAAAAGGGTAGCTGAAAACTTGATTGAAGTTGAAATAATCGTTTTTGGGATGAAGAAGCTCCTAATGTGATAAACAATCTGTTGCCTGCTCACAACATTGAGCCAATAGTCGAAATGATTTGTGAAGATGAGAAATTTGATCCGGCACTGAAGGCTATTGCAGCCATTGCTGAAACAGACGAAAAGTTGAAAAATGATCGCCAAGCCTAAAAGTTCCTCATCAGACCGGAGTCTCGGTAGCCAGTCTTACTATCCTTTCCGCGTTGGATTATCTTAGTGTGTGATCCGGATGTTTTTACTTTATTGTCTTACATTCTGATGTAAATCCTTCTATCTTCAAAATTAAAAAATAAAATAAAAAATACAAATGAAATTAATATTTCATTGTCCAGGAATGTCTCTTTTCTTAATCTTGTCATTTTTCTTATTCTGTTTTCAGTTCTGTTAAATGCAGATTTCAATAACATGACATGCTTGCGGACTTCATGCCCAGATCCTAAAACGCTGTCAGACTTCGACAAATTGAAGTTGGAAGAAAGAAGGCAGAAATGAAAGGTCTACGACGACAAAACAAAGTTGGAAAAGGTTAAGTCCCACGCGACTAGCCGTTGTGCCAAAGTTTGAGGAGCCAAAAGTTCCCCAATGCTCCGAAGTTAAAAAAAGAAACAAAAAAAGCAGCAAGTTAGAAGGGAAAGGACGACAAAGGCAAAATAAAGTTGAAAAGGTTGAGTCCCACGCAACAAACCGTCATGGTAAAGTTTGGAAGGCCAAAGTTTCTCCGGGGCTAGAAATGAAATTGGTCTTCAAGAAGCAACCAGTTGCAGTGGATAATATATTCAAAGAAGACGACCAAGACCAAGTGACTGAAACAATCAAGGCCACAAAACCAACCACCATTTCAAACTAACAATTTTTCTTTGTTTGAAAACAAGAAACGGGTGCAATCCAAAAGCAACCTTGCAAGAAGCAGGTGCAACAAAAGGAAACTTCGCAAGAGATAAAAAACAGCTTTGCAGCAACAACTCCTAAAAGGGAAGTCTCCTCCAAAATTCTTTTTCGCATTTACTCATTCTCTAAAATAAAAAAAAATGATGATGACATGAAAAAAAAATCAAAATCATGGTAGTATAGGGTCTCCAATCCCTACCTGTTAATCTTTTCCAACATAGGGGCCCACTCCCTAGTTGATGTCGGCATAATCCGATGACTTTTCTAGCATATGGTCCCACTCCTTAGTTGATGCCAACATAACCCGATGACTTTTCTGGCATAACCCGATGAATTTTTCGGTATAACCCGATGACTCTTCCGGCATAACCCGATGACTCTTCTGGCATAACCCGATGATTCTTCCGGCATAACCCCATGACTCTTCCGGCATAACCCGATGACTCTTCCGGCATAACGCGATGACTCTTCCGGCATAACGCGATTACTCTTCTGGCATAACCCGATGATTTTTCCGGCATAGCCCGATAACTTTTCCAACACAGGGTCCCACTCCCTAGTTGATGCCAGCATAACCTGGTAATCTTTCCAACTTAGGGCCTCCAATCCCCAGTTGATTTGATTTTAGATATAGGGTCTCCACTCCCTAATCTCTTTTTCCCTATGATACACAATCTTGACTTTTATTGCTTTTAATAAAGAAGTAGTTTAGAATTTTGTTACAATAACTCACGAAATTTTCCTAGTGAAAACTGGGGGCAGAAAATTTTTTTGTTTGTTTGTTTGTTTTGGTGTCTGAGTAGGTTTTACCTTGAGACCCAGGGTTCGAGACAACCAAAAGAAGAAGTCTCAATCCATAATAAAAGAAAAAGAAGTGAACTCAAAGTGTAGAAGCGGAGAAAAGATATGGACTGCTCAAGATGTGATTGAAGTCACAAGCTCTGCATGTCCCGCATTGATCCGAAAAGCTGAAGAAGAATGAATCAGCATTTGCAGCTAACCAACGTCAAGATTCAGATCATAGTCTGTATGAAGAACCAATCAAGACTCAAGATCAAGCTTCAGAAGATTTATAGATAGGAATCTTGTAGCTCGTAGCTGATAAGCTTAGTTAGTTCAGTTTTTATTTTGATTTTGGTGTAATAAGGAGCTCAATAAGCAGTAACAACAGCAACAACAGTGAAATTACAGCTTCTCTGTAGTCCCAACTATAAAAATTTTCAGAACTACACTGACCCGATTTCTTTATAGCCAAGGATATGTAGGCAACCTCCAAAACAAAGTTCGGTCAAGATTTTTCAAAATGCTTCCCATGGAGTTTCAAACGGGCAAAAATTGCTCGTAATTGCTCGTAATTGCTCACTTTATCTTTGTCCGAAAACTCTTCATGTTTCCGAGCAAAGAGCGGCAGCTGTGAGCACCTAATTTTTGCCCCGCATGGAAATAACTCCTAAAAATAGACCAAAAATAATTTTAGTGAATTTTAAGAGTTTTTTTATTTAGTTGCATTTTATTGCATTTTTAATATCTTAAATACTAGAAAAAATCATAAAAAATTATCATATTTTAATTTCATGCCATCTTAGGTTTAATTTGCATTTAGGAATTAATTACATTACTAAAAGCATAATTTAAATAACTAAAAATCAAAAAAGAACTCTTAGGTTAGTTAATTAATTAGGCAAAATAGATAAATAATTTGGCCATACAAATTAAATTAAACTAAATTAGAGATTAAAGTGACTAACGTTGCAATTTATAAAGAATGAAAAGAAAGAAAAGGGCTGCCAAGCTAAAAATGAGACTGGGCCATTTATTTCGAGCCCAATTTTTACAATATTCTACCACAGCCCAATCTGTCCTTTCCCCATTTCCCTTAAATGCCTAAAACCTAATGTCATTTTCCCTAACCTAGAGAACTTAGATCAGACTAAAGGAGATCCTCTTCTCTTTCACAAAAAAGGGCAGTCACCTCTCACCATAGCTCACCCCAAAATCTCCTCCCCCAGATGAAAAAATGCTGGCAGCTCTTAGAAAGAGAGGACTGCTCTCTCACTCTCTGATGTTGAAGACCAAAAATCGGTCCTCCATTCCCTTATCATCGTCAAATGGCTTCCCCTTTCTTCTCACTCAATAAAACCTAGCCATCTCATTCGCCCATCACTTTCACACACACACACACACACTAGAAGATAGGTGAAAGCAGCTTTTCAAACTAAGATCTGGAATTTCAAGAGCTTCAAAAACAAAAAAAAAGTAAAAAGAAGGAAGAAAGAACCATGAAAGATTCTTAAATCTGGTCCGATTTCTATTGTGTTTAGTTTGATAATTTCTGGATTTTCGAGTCGATTTTTGGCTGGGATTGGTGCTGTTTTCTGCCGATTCTATTGATGACTTCGTTGAGCTCTAGGTACACACACTGAAGCCTTTTTGTTCATGTTTAATTTATGAAATCAATTAGTTGAAATTACTTTTGAAGGTGATGGATGATTCCTGTTGAACTTGAATTTTGTGTTATGAGTTATATTCCTTGATATTAATACTATATAGCTTTCAACTTCTTCTGATTTGTCCCTTATATTTCAGCATGATTCAATAATGCTAAATCTCTGTTTGCTCTTTGTGAATCCATGAAATTGACTGAAATTTGTTGGAATTTAGCTACTAGATCCTGGGATTACACTGAAGTTTGCTGAAATTTATTTTATAATGGTTGGGCATTAAATTTAAAGTTTAGAAAGAGCTGGATTAAATGAAACTATCGAACTGTCCTTTTGCTATTACTGTAGTTTTTTTGTATTAACATTTAGAAATGAAGAGTAGTAAAGTTGGTTGAAGTAATGATTTTGCTGTTTAAGGAAGCATGGTATGTGTGAATTCAAGGCCCGTATCAATTGTTTGGTTGGATCTGCTATTTGATTAGCAAAAGTTCTGATATAACTTTATAAAACTCATAGTTTGAAATAAAATAGCTTCCCAATTTGTGAGGGTCTATTTTGTTTACCCATTATACTTTGGATCTGGTAGAAGTTCATTAGTTTAGGTTGGAGTTTGTTTGGCTAAGAAATTAAATAGTGTTGCTAATATGCTTCATAGAATTTTGATGGTTCTTGATTAGTCCTTTTAGTTTCATTTTGGTTTGCTATAGTCCTTGTGTTAATTAGAGAGATCATTGAGTTTCTTTTCTTGAATTCACGGCCTCGATTAAGTTTAGGACAAGAGAATTGGGTCTACAATAACCTTAAAAGTAATTTGGAAAATAACACATGAACATCTTAGCTTGCTTTAGGCGCGAATAATAAACATAACTATGGGTACAGTTCCCATGGCATAGTTGCGATACATAAATCCAAATTCGGGTGTACATTTCATGTGACCCCATCATAACAACTTTGAATAATAATAATAAAATAAACATGGCGCAAGTCGCAGGTGCTCCAACCTACGAACACCGTATCAATTACTACACGATGTACTAGAACATGACTGCATACCTTTGCTGAATTCTCACCATGCACCACATCATTCATGGACCATAATAACATTCCTTCGTGATAATAACCGACATTTCCTGAATCCGATGCTCACAATGCGCCTCATGACATATATAAATCTTGTCCCAACTTTTGCAATATCGCCACGACGGAAGAGATGTGTAGACATTCATAGCCAACTGCCGAGTCAACATATCATTGAGTCTATACTCCTGAGAAGAAATATCATCTCATTCTGAACCAAATAATGGTATTTGCTCTTCGATATACTTCATATAATCCGATCGCAGTGATCCTAGATCCAAAAATCTCATCTCACCAGTACAAACTGCTCAGGCAATAAGCCACCCCAGACATGACCAAAAGTCTCATATGATGCCAAAAGGTGCCGAGAGGCCACAAACTTGAATGTAATACATAAGAAAAACGAACACTGGAAGGGACTGCTCAACTCACGCAACTAATATGAACTTTCCTCGTAAAATGGGAAACAAAACACACAAAATTTAGAATATAGAAAACCGTACTCAACATCACACTGTTGCAGCGTGCAACCCAATCCAAAAAATATACCCATGGTGGAATGACACCTGATCCACACATAAAATCCATATAAGGAGATACATACCAAGCTAGAGTGTTCATTACTACCAAATACCGAATATTGGCCACAAGCACGCTAAGTGCATAATACCATTGTAACGACCCGACTAGTTGTTTTACTTTCTAGAACCATGTTCCCCTAAATAAGACTTCTCGTACTTGCTTTAACTGATTTACGACTTGTAGGAATGGTTGGTTTGGGATTTGGAAGAGTTTGGATTGAAATTGGAATACTTAGTTCCTTAAGGTTGGCTTAAAATGCCAAGTTTGACTTTGGTCAACATTTTTAGTAAACGGATCCGTACTTGTGTTTTGATGGTCTCGGAGTATCCGTAGTAAAATATGGGACTTGGGCATATGCCCGGAATCGAATTCCGAGGTCCCTAGCCCGAGTAATGAATTTTTGTTAAAAATTGTTAAACTGAAAATCTAAGGATTTAAAGAAATGGAATAATGTTTGATCATGTTGGTATAGGACCCGTATGTTGATTTCGGAGCCCGGTACAGGTCCAATATAACATTTAAGTCATGTCTGTGAAATTGGTGAGAAACGAGACTGATTTGACGTGATTCAGACGTCTGGTTGAAAAATAGGAATTTCAAATGTTCTCAAGGATTTCATGCGTTTTGGTGCTAAATCCATAGTTTTAATGTTATTTTGGCAATTTGATTGCACGAGCAAGTTGGTATGATATTATTAGACCTGTGGGAGTATTTGGTGTGGAGCCCCGAGGGATCAGGTGAGTTTCGGACGCGAGGGGGGAGTAGAAAACACACCAGATTTCTGGTGTTTTTGGTTGCTGCAACAGATCTCGCAATTGCGATAGATTTGTTCGCAAATGTGAACCTCTCATTTGCGAGGAGGGCTTCGCAATTGTGAAGGAACCCGATCCAGGAAGAGTTCGAAATTGTGATAACTCTACCGCATTTGCGATCCCATCAGAAGTAGCAATTGCGACTCTTGGGTCGCATCTGTGACCACAACAACATAAGCCCAAGTTTTGCATTTGCGACCCTCGCATTTGCAAACCTGTTGTTGCAAATGCGACATTAGAGGGTTGTGTCCAACTTTTAAAAAATGGGACTTAGGTTATTTATTTAATTTTACTTCTACACTTGGGCGATTTGGGAGCTTTCAAAGAGAGGATCTCAACTTAGCATTGTGAGGTAAGTTATTTCTACTCAATATGAGTTTAATACTTGGATTTTGGGTAGATTAACACACAAAAATTAGTAAAAATAATGGGATTTGAGTAAAATCTAGGGTTTTGATAAAAACAAGATTTAACCACGAAATTTGTTATGGAATGAAGTAGAAATTATATATTATTGATCCTTAGGTTATGTGTAACGACTTCCCTCAAAAGTTTCTGGAATCCAGGCACGTGGGCCCGGGGATGGATTTTAGGAAACTTGCACTTAGGGTTGGGGAACTACTTTAATAGTTGGGACATGAACTCTTGAGCTTGTATTGACTAGTTCTTACCCCGTTTAACTAGTTTTGGATCGTTCGGCTCCAAATTGAGGGTTTGAGCACGTTCTTGATATTGGAAGTAAGCTTTGGAGCGAGGTGAGTCTCCTATCTAACCTTGTAAGAGGGAATTGTCCCCATAGGTAAAATAATTGAATAACTTGCCACTAAATGCGGGGACTACGTACGCACAAGGTGATGAGAGTCCGTGCATAGCCACTATTATGCTTAAGTCCGGGTAGTCTAGGACCAAAAACTATGCTTTATGTGCTATTCTTGTAACTTTATTGTCAATTTAGATTGCTTAAATCACATTGAATGTGGTAAATGAATTTATAATGAGGAAGTTCATTTTCTTGACCTTTTAAGGAGAAGTTGACATTTCTTTGAGTAATTTCTTCCCTGATATATTCCTGCCTGCCTGTTTGTTGTGTTTAATTATATTTGACCGCGTCGCATGTATGATTTGCGAGTAGAGTAATAGATGCATTTATGGTTCGCGCCGTTCGACCCTCCGACAGTGCACACTTTATTTTATGTTGGATCGGGCCATACGACCTCGACACTATTTGTGCATGCTTTTTGCTCGGTACTTCCTGTGATTTGAACTGTGTTAGATGTCCCGAAATGTAAATGGTTATCTGTGATATTATCTAGGAAAGAACCGATCACTTCATGCTATATATTGTTATTTATTTATGATATCCATGCTTAGCATAACATTTTCTTATATTATTTGACTCTAGTAAGTATCAAGTCGATCCCTTGTCACTACCTTTTCGAGGTTAGACTGAATACTTACTAGGTACATATTGTTTATGTACTCATACTACACTTCTGTACTAAATTGTACAGGATCTGAAGCACGTACATTTGGCTACCCGTCTGGTGCGCATCCTTGATAGTAGGCCGAGATTCCACGGTGAACTGCTACCTTCCTACCCCGTTCAGCAGCATGATGGAGTCTCTCTTTGTTTTTGACTGTCTATTCTATTTGAGACAGTAGGATAGATTTATTATTTTGTATATTCTACTAGATGCCTATATACTTGTGACACCAGGTCTTGACACACACATTGGTAGACTATTCTTTTGGGTTGTATAACCACTATTTTACGTTACTAATTATCACTTGTTTTAAATTCAAATTAAGAAAATGATGGAATTATTTTGGTAAAGTAAAATGAGAACTCACTAATATTTTCGGGTTGGCTTGCCTGACAACGGTGTTGGGCGTCATCATGACCTGTAATGAAAATGGATCGTGACAACCATCCCCGGGAAGACAGACAACACCATACGCTACGAAACTCAAGCACAACTAAGAAGCGACATGATCTGAATCTCGAGAGCCATCCTGTTCCCATAACACCATAGCTACGTGGAACCCCAACACATATGAAATTTATCAAGCCTTTTCACAACTCACATGACACAATATAATATTACATGAAATAGCCAACGACGAAACGGCATCCAACGTCTGAATACTCCTCCATAAGGAGTGTTATGCTGAAATGAACATATCTAGCCTGATATAGACCTCATATTTGTACTTAAATCCATTCACAGACCTCAAGCCGATTTTGATCGCACCATACTAGGCTAATAAACTTTCAAGGGTCCATAATAATCCCCTCTTTTCCATGACTCACAAGAACAACCCTCATATCCGGAGCAAACCTCCACAGTCCACAACCCAATAAACTGAGTGCCGTCCAGGCATAAATTCTCAAATTAGAGATATTACCACAATCTTCATACTTGGTTTAGATTTCCAATCAATCAAGTGACTACATGTCACACTTATACAATCTCCCCATGAGACACGTGTCACACCTCCTTTTTTACATCCCGAGAGGGAGTATAAGGGAGTTTTTTTTTTAAATTTAAGTGACAATCGAAATGAGATTATTTATATTAAATTTAGAGTCGCCACTTGGGATAATTTATGGTGTCCCAAGTCACCGGTTTAAAATCCCGAATCGAGAAAAGTTGACTCTTATTTTATGGTGTGCGAACACAGAAATCCGGGTAAGAAATTCTGTTAACCTGGGAAAAGGTGTTAGGCATTCCCGAGTTCCATGGTTCTAGCATGGTCACTTTGATCATACTTGGCTTAATCAAATTATCTAATTACTCATTTTAGAACCTATGTGCATTTTCCTCTTTTAATTAAGAAATTATCTTGAAAACAAGTCACACGTATGTATACCCATTCGTTTGGCGCGTCAAAAATCATGTCACGCGAACATGTCCACAATTAGTAATGCTTTATTATTATTAAGAAAGTTTAGTCGAAGTTGCGCGAACGGATACTCCGATTTTGTTTTGAAAATCGTAATTATGTGATGCGAACGTGTCCACAATCACGAGGATAGATTAATTCATGCCTAAAGCAAACTACGAATATTCATTTTTATTATCTAAGTTATAATATTAATGCGAGGGCCATAGGTGATTCAATTATGGATGGCACACCTCAATCTATAAAGAACTATACTTAATTAAAGTGGACTAGGATTGCTCATATTTAAAACTAATTGGAAGTTTGTAATAAGGCCATGAATGGGATTTAGCGTGGAAAGATTGTTGCGTTTAACTTATTCTATAAAGATGGGCCCAACGGTAGGCCCACTATGCTATTTAATCAAAAAATCCGCAACTCCTCAAGATAGCAATAACGCTGATGTTACCTGGGCTCAGAAATTAAGCCCAGAAGTGGAATACAAAACATCATAGCCCATGCCAAGTCTGGTTTCGACCAAACTATTCCCTTTTGGGCTAACACCTGGCCCAACAATCTAATAAAAACTCCACATCTCGAATCATTTCTTTAAAAAACGTAAGACATAAAAGGAAAAAGGTTGAGGCTGAAGACTCTTGGGCCTGAAATAGTGCCCAAGTTCAAAGAAAACCAGGTTTGGTCGTTTTAGGCCTTGTGCCACATCGACTAACTCATCAGGCCCAATACTGAACTGAAGGCCTTCCTGATACTCTAAATTCTTTAGACACACGAATACAATGCTAAACTGGAGATCAACTTACTGAATCGGTCATATTAACTACAGGCCATGTGAAACGTTGTGTATTAACTTGATTAATGGAGCACAATAACATGTTAATTGAAATAAAGACTTCAGATAACATTGACTTGTTAAAGAAAAAGAATAAACTAGCAATGTAGATACTTAGTCATGACTATATGAGCTATTTTCAAAATCCAGCAAATCCTAGTGAAACCCATGTAAACTACTATAACTGCTTGACAGTTTTCAAACTATTGAGAACCATACATGGACTAACTAATGCAAAATGATCATTCATATAAATACTAAATTCCAGCTAATATCCTGATTCAAAATATTTTCGCAAAAAAGAACAGAAGGGTCAACCAAATAAACTGCATCTTAATATTACCAAAAAAAACTAAATGAAACATGCTATACATCTTCATTTTCCATTCAGAAGTTCATGAGAATACCTGGTTACCAAAAGCAAAACAAAATGTGAGGATCTCGGCCAAAACAATAGTGTGAGCAAAGAAGCAAAATAACAACAACCCCAACTTCTTTAGTCCATGGCCAAAACCCAGAAAACCAATAAACCAATGAAAGTCTTTTCAAAATTCTTCTAGAGGAAAAATAAGAAACCAATTCGAGCCAACTTCCAATGAAAAGCAGTGCAGAAACTTTTGTTCTTTTCCTTAGGGTTTTCCAATCTCTGATTTTTGAGTGAAAGAGAGGTCTATATATAGCCCTTTTGGGGTGCCATGTGCTGCTGAAAACAGAATGAGAATTATTCCCTCACAATGCATCTTTCCTAACAGAATTGGGATAGCTGGCAGCCTTTGATTGGCTCCAGCATTTGTGCTAGCCAAAATTGGGCCAGCTGCCCCAGATTCTAGAAGTTTCCCTTCTAAAAATCTGATCTCCTATTCCCAATTTAACCTCCTAAGTTTCATCTATTCAATTAAGACCCTAGGAGTGTTTAACAATTAGAAACTACAGCAAACAACACAAAAATCTGAATTAAAAACAAAGAAGATCAAATAGGACAAATCCTAATTCAATTAAGCTTTTAACGGAACCTAAATTCTTTTATCATTGAGCTTGAGATCAAAACAACACAAAATAGAAATATTTGAACCTAACATGAATCCAGAATTCCTAATTAACGAGCCATTTTCTGAGAATTGAACCTATTTTACCAACTAACATCATTGTATCTCGGAATTAAATAATAGCAGGAAACTAACATGCTGATTTTAAATGAAATCGACTGGAAACAAGCTAAACCAATTTAGACAAAACCTAACCGAAAAAATGACCAACTAGTAATTGAAAAATATGCATAAATCAACCCTAAATCTACTGACTAGTCTCAATAATTAAACGCAGAATTTAACAAACAATTCTGAACGAAAAATAAGAACCTAAGTCATGCAACTATAAACAGAACAACCACACGAAGAATCAATCAAAGAAAGAAAATGGCCAAGAAAAGAAAAATAGAAACCAAGCAAGAAATTACCTATACTAATGGATGAAACAAGTTGGATTCGGAGAACCTGACCGGAGCTCGGACTGGTTAGGGCAGGTTTGAAAAAAAATAAATCAAACCCACATGAATCAATTGATCCTGTTAAGAGAAAATGACTCATGTAGGTCTGAACCATTTGAACTTTCAGAATCACTCAGTAGAGGCTTTTAATTTTTTCTTTCTTTCCAGAATTTCGATCTGAAATTGCGCAAATTTAAGAGGCCTTTTGGGCAAACCGGTGGGATATTAGGGGTGAGGGGAGTGGGTAGATGTCCTGGTGAGGTTTTGTCGTGATTTGGCCGTACTAAGGTTTTGGGATTGAATTTCAGATCTGAAATTCGGGGAATTGGAGGGTGTTTTTGGGGGAATTGACGGTGTAATGGTGCTGAGGATGGGCTCAGGGTTGTGGAGGATGAATTTGGACGATTTTGGAGCACCATAACTATCGTGAGGTGCTTTTCGGTGGGCGGCGGTTTAGGGTTCAGGATGTGAGGATTTGAGAGAGAAGTAGGGCAGCTAGGGTTTGATGGGTTAGAGATGGGAGTGTAACTGAAGGGGTCCTGGGGGGTGGTTGTGTTAGGACAGTTAAATACAAAACCAATGGCCAGTTCCCAGCCGTTGGATCACACGAGATCAACGGCTGGGATCCACTAGAGTGAAACGGCGCCTTTTGGCTAATTGTGTGTGTGGGGGGGGACCGGGTGGCTTAGTTTTGGGCCTGCTTTGGACGGGTTTGGTGCACAGATTTGGCCCAAATTCAAAGCCAAAGCAACCCTTTTTCACAATTCCTTTTTTTTTTAATTAATAAAAATCCTAAATTTAATCCTAAAAATATAAGTTGTGAAATCAAACTAATTATCAAATTGTAAAATTTATAAAAATTAATTGATCCTAAATTAAAAGAGAAAAACGATTGATTTAGAATTAAAAACTAAAAGATGTAAAAGTGAGCCTTTTTTTGTGATTTTCATTTTAGTAAAACAATTAGTTAAAAAATTAATCCTAAAAACATGGAAACAAAATCTAAATGCAATGCATGGTATTTTTGACATTTTTTTCATGATTTTAATAGAAGTAAACATGCACAGAAATGCAAACAATTAACACAAATTCCTACGAAAATCCTATAAAATTGCAAACAATTGGAAAAATCTATTTCTTTAATTTGTAGGAGTATTTCACATAGGGCAAAAATCACGTGCTCACAGCTGCCCTTCTTTGCTCGGAAACACGAAGAGTTTTTGGGAAAAGATAAAGTGAGCGGATACGAGCGATTTTTGCCCGTTTGAATACTTCGTGGGAAGCATTTTTTGAAAGATCTGGCCGAACCTTGCTTCCTAAGTTTCCTACATATCCTTGGCTATAAAAGAATTAGGTCAGTATAGTTCGGGAAGTTTCGGTAGCCGAGACTACCGAGAAGCTGTGATTTCACTGTTGCTACTGCTGCTACTACTTGTTGAACTCCTTATTACACCGAGACAAAATAAATGAAACTAGGCTAAACTATGATCTATGAATTACAAGAATCCTATCTATTATCTTCAAACTTGGTCTTACGGCTTCTACAATTCTATTGTGCATCTTGA